TCGTGTGACCTCCAATTCCAGTTTGACTGGAAGTTGTATTTGAAAACAAAAATCGTCATATCTCATGAACTTTAATTCCGATCAATTTCAAACTTGGTATAGTAATTAACCATGATCATAAAATGAGCCTCGAAACTTTTTGTATTTTGACGTTATCAGAAGTCACGTGACCTCAATTCAAAAGTTCATTCTCTACAGCATAATAACTAATAAACTATTTGACCGATTGAACTCCAATTTGGTTTGCACATAGTCAGGGACGTGTTATAGATAAAAGTAATTTCTTGACCTCATGTGACCTCTACTTCTGGTTTGACCGGAAGTTGTATTTTAACACACAAATCGTCATATCTCATGCACTCTACGTTCAATTGCAGTAATAAATTGTTTTTAGTTATACATGCCACTTTGGCAATTATTTGTAATGCAATTGTTTGTAAACTTAATATGATACTCGTTGACAGTCATCAAAAGACAATAAAAAACGTTTTGGGAACAGCTATGTATTCACAAACACCACCTCTAACTTTCATTTTTTTTCTACTTTTTTATTCTACAAAGCACTTTGACAATTATTTTAAGCCTAATCAATTTCAAACTTGGAATGGTAATTAACCATCATTAGAAGAAGTGCCCGAATTTTTTGGAATCGTGACGTCATCATGCGTCACGTGACCTCAATTCAAACGTTCATTCTTCACAGTCTAATAACTAGTAAACTATTCGACAGATTTAACTCAAATTTGGTTTGTATTAGGTGACGTGTTACAGAAGAAAATTGACATCTTAACCTCATGTGACCTCTACTTCCGGTTTGACCGGAAGTTTTATTTTGAAACACAAATTATTATATCTCATGAACTAAATGCTCGATATTCATCAAACTTATACCTATAAAGAACCCTTATGCACAGATGGTCCTAGAAACATGACGCCATGATGACGTCATAAAGTGATTTATTATTTATTTTTACACGTTTCGAGGCACTTTTTTGTAACTTAGCAAAATTCCATCGTCATCAAAGTTACACGAAGCACTCACCATAAAGCGATAATACGTAAATATTTAGGTCATGATGACGTCATCAAGTGATTTATTATTAAAATTTGAATATTTAAATATTCCATTAATTTCGGTGGGGCATAGCATTCTTCAAATCATAAAGTGATGTAGTTACGGTCGACATCGTATTTTGTCCAATACCGATATATCGCTTTTTTCATAACGACATTTTCGAAATGTCAAATGTTGTTAATTTTGCATGGATTCTACTCTTTGTTTGCTCAAAGAATGTGGCTGACACCGGATCTACGTAGGGACGTACTAAGTCGTGAACCCCAAACACGACGGGTGATGAAGTCAATGACAAACCAGACCCTTAATTTACAGATCTCACACAGCGTATGCCACTGTACACGGGAGTGGTTTCGGATTGTGTATCATACAGTACAACTTTCTAGTCAGTTACAAGTGAAATTCATTTTTGCGCCAGAATGTCCAGGATAGTGCAACAGATATCATCGATAGTAGTCCTGTACTCTCTTTCTTAAATATACATAGAAAATCTGAAATATGCAATCAATTATTGTTATGTTAGATATTATCAAAGACTTTTTTGAGTGGCAATGCATGTTTATGATTATGCAAATAAGGGGGAGTTTGCAGACCGATGTCAACAGAGAAAACACTCTTCAAGGCCCTATTTCTCCTGAAGTAGATGTCCAATCTTGCAGATATCTTCAAAAGCGAGCAATTTAGAGGAATATTGACCTTATGTGATGATGACGAGATAAATCACGACACTAAAGGTGCACTTTTTAGGGCCCTATATCTCCTGAAATAGCCTTCCTGTGGGGTTTTTATGTTGCAGAAATCGTGAAAAGGAGTGTTTTAATGGAATATTGACCGTATGTGATGACGTCATCAGGGGACAAGTCACGGGACATTAAATGTGCACTCTTTAAGGCCCTATATCTCCTGAAGTAGATATCCGATCGGCTTCTAATCTTGCAGATATCTTAAAACGGGAGGGCGTTAGAGGAATATTGACCGTATGTGATGATGACGTCATCAGGGGAGAAGTCACGTGACATTAAAGGTATACATTTTAAGGCCCTATATCTCCTGAAGCAAATGTCTGATCGGGTTCAAATCTTCCAGATATCTTGGAAAGGGAGTGCGTTAGAGGAATATTGACCTTACGGGATGATGACGTCATCAGGAGACAAGTCGCGTGACATTAAATGTGCAATTTTTAAGGCAGTATATCTCCTGAACTACAGGTTCCATCGGGTTCAAATCTTGCGGATATCTTGAAAGAGATGTGTTATATACGAAAAATGACTTGATGTAATGACGCCGTAGTTATTCAAATGTATAAAAGAATGCAAAAAGCCCTTTGTTCTGTTGTCAAACAGACAGATAAGCTTTCGTTTTTAATCCAATTAATCACAAACGTATGATACTCATTGACAGTCATCAAAAGACAATAAAAAACCTTTTGGGAACAGCTATGTGTTTGTTCACAAACAAATTTTCTCTAGTTGTTATTTTGTTTTTATTTCATGACTTTATCCCATTTCCCTTGTTATTGGCAGTATACTGCTGTGGGTTGGGAGATAATGAAATGAGTAGACCGGTCGTTGTAGGGCCAATATTTATAGCGTTGTGTTTAGTATACCGCCATAGGGTGCTTTCTTTTTACTTCAAGTTGTTGATTGTTTGT